CTTGTGAGTTCAGCCTTGGACTTTGACTTCATCGCCAGTTGCCACTCACACGTGTTTTACACTTGACATCTCCCACTGAGACATCAAAAGTGTTGGTGGTGGATAGGTTTGCACAAAGCTGTTCAAGCAAAAACCATTGTGGGACTTCTTGTTCCAGAGACCAGCCATGGGTAATCTAGCCTCGGAGGAGGAGAGAGGCAGAAAACAGGAGGCTTTCTAGGAAATGAAAGGTCTCTTTGGGGATTTCTTTCAGTTCAGATTATGTAAATTCGATGGGATGGACATTATTTCAAAGGATTTAGACGTGGGAATCACAAAATTCATGAGAACAGGTTTAAAACTATTTGGAACTTTAATTTACAGTGTTTTTCTTGGCTTCCTGTCAGATATACATAGAAACAGATACTCAGCTGATTCCAAATGACTCACGCAGGCCTTGTCCCATAGGACTCGATATTTCCTCTGCCGACTTTTCCCGCCTCATTTCCCAATCATGGGACTGTTCCTCTCCCTGACAAGTTAAAAGTGACAAGTTCTTTTGTTAACGATATCAATAGGTCTATATATAAATTTTTAAATGTATGTCGCTGCCTCTGAAATTATCTTAGTAAGAATAGCTTAATAATCTCTAATTTTATTGCAAAAGACACTATTGTGCTAGCGTGGCTAGGCAGGAAACACAGCTAATTATCAAGATGAATCATTTAACAAGGTGGGGAAAAAAGCTCCTTGGGTGCAAAAATATCTGGTTATTGACATGTTACCAAATTTCCCCAAAATAGATTTCCATGTGATTTAGACTTTGATTTCTTTTCCTCTTAGATCAAAAGAACCTTCCTGATTAGGATTAGTGTTGGGGGGAACGTTTTCCATTCTGAAATGAGAACCAGAAGCTTCTGTAGGGCAGTTAGGAGATCAGGATGCTTGCTAAAGATGTCACTCCAGGAATTCTCTTCCCGCCTACCAGTGATTTCCTGTCTCCTGGATCTGTCCTCTTGGCACACTGTACGGTCCTTGCATGCAGTGGGGAGGCACTGGAAGATTCTGAGCGGAGGAATGTCATGATTGACTCAGGCTTTAACTGGATCTCACTGGTTGCTCTAATGAGATGACAATAAAGAGGACAGTGGCGACTGCTGGGAGGTATGCGGAGGCCAGGGTGGGCTCCCATCTTATTTTTCCCTCTCACCTGATTTTCTGCTGCCTTCTCCTGGTCCCTGGCTCCAGCCAACTGTTCTCCTTTCTATTTCTTCAGCCCACCCCGCAAGCTTCCACATGGGTTGACTGAGCCATTTCTGTGTGGGATACTCTTCCCCAGGCATCCAAATGGCCTCCTCTCTGACTTTATTCAGACATCACCTCATGGAGGCTCCCCAACCATACTGATTAAAACTGTCCTTCATTCAGAACCAGGTCCTTCCTCTCCCTCCCCTGTCTTTATTTGTCCTCTGCATTGATCATCTGACATACTAGATTGTGGTCGTCCGTCTTTCTGTACATCCAGAGTGGACGCTTCATGAGGAAGGGCTGGGCTTATTCACTACTGTATCCCTGACACTTACACCTGTATCTGGCACACAGCTGGGTGTCCCATGGATGTCCGATGTGAGCCCTCTTGGCTCTGCTGTTTCCTGACAGTGGGATTCAGGGCATCTCACAGGCCGATGCTCCTCTCCCAGAGGGCTGTGGTGAGCAGGGCGTGTCAAGCAGGGTGTCATCTCAATGGTGCATTCTTGCTGGGCCCTTCCTGAAGCTTAGTCTCACCTGTCAAGCGCCCTCCAATGCAAGAGGAGGCATAGCTACCTTTATAGACCAGCACACACTTCTAGTGACCATTTTGTTTATGGCCCAGGTCCTGGCCAGCTCTAAGGGTGGATGAGTAGCCAGATCTCCAAGAACCTCATGACTTTGCAGAGCCCCTTGTTCCCAGGGAGCTCCCACACCCGCAGCCCACCTGTGCAGGTATCATGAGCCAGCACCCGGTAACCTCTGGAAACTGTCCCTTCCAGTCCTGCCTGCTGTGCCCTTCGAAGTCCCTGCCTTGACCTTGCTTGTTTTTTCCTGAGACAGTTGTGTAGTGCCAAATAAAAAGGGAAGCCAGCATTTGCAAATTTGGTTAAAATGGCAGCTATTCCCCACTCTTCAGCCGGGCCAACTGTTGCTCGTGTTTTTATTGCAATTACACATTCTTGCCCACCTCATTAAGCTTGCTTCTTTCAGGCATGAATACCTGGTTGAATCTGCATAGCCTCTTATTATTGACCCACCTCCATTCTCGCACAAGTGATTGCCACTTACTGCTCCCCCACCTGGCTTCTTTTGTAAATAAGCGAAATTTTATTTTCTCAAGAGAGAAAGTAACGTGATATCTTGCTGTTTCCACAGTTTCCTTGTTTTGCTGGCTTGCAGGTCTGAGAGACTTCAACAAATGTTCTGTGTTCCCAGCTCTGTGGTGTACAGCTCGTAGTTGAGAAAGGGGGCTGCTGTGAATGTCACTCCTGACCTGCCTCCACCAGGCACTGGTTCAGATGCCTCCTCTCCCCACCCCTCTACCCCCAGCCTCAATTTCCCCACTTCTTAGTGAGACCATAATGGCCTTATACTTTAGAAATATTGAGACTATGATTTTGAAAATGAAAAGTCCCCCCACCCACTCCCCATTAGCATCATTATGAAAACAGAGATGGAATGGAAAATAGATTTTGAGACTTTTATAATTATTCTTTGCTGGCCTTCAGAGGCAAAATTCAGATAAGAAAGCTTATCAATTATACTTTTGTTTCTACCCAAAGACTCATGACTGCTCACTCAAAGGCCCCTTGTTCTAATCTTAAAACATTGTTGACAGTGTCCCAAATGAATGGCAGCAAGTCCTAGGGTTTGGTATTTAGATGGTACATTTATTCCCCTGGGAAAGAAGTAACAGTTTGAGAGGTGGCAGGGTTGGGGGGCAGAACTCCACGTGTTCTGAGGAGTATGTGATTTTCTGAGGATAATGACTGAGCATCCCTGGTCCTTGTTCTGTTGCTGAAAATAATCACGGTTACTTTTGTTTTTGGAACTTTTGAGAAGAAAAAAGGAAAAGAAATGAGCAGCCTGGAGAATTTGGTTTTGAAATGCAAACGCAGAAATTATGAGTCAAACTTGGGCAGGGCTTCATTTTATTTTGAAAGAGCAGCAATATGATTCCTGGATTTGTCTTTGTTCTCTTGGCGTTTAATCCGGATTCCTGGGCAGTTGGTCAGCCCCAGCCCATGTCCACAGAGCACGTGGCTGGGGCCTGGCACGCCACCTGGTGATTCTGCCCCGGCGGAGGGGCTTCAGCTGGGAGGCCAGCCTGGTTTTCAAGGCAGAACTGGGTTCTTCACTCTAAAGCACTTAGTAACACAGAATGGACAGTGTGGTGAATGCCCGGGGGGTTGTAGGGGAGGTAGAATAAATGGTGATAAACGGAGACTTGACTTGGGGTGGTGAACACACAATACAGTGTACAGTTGATGTGTTGTAGAATTGTGCACCTGAAACCTGTATAATTTTTTTAACCAGTGTCACCCCAATAAATTCAATAAAAAGGGGGGGAAATAAAAATTCCTGTTCTTGGGGAAAAAAGGCACACAGAAGTGTCATTGTAAGTGGCATAATTCATAATTTACTTTTAATCTCTTATGGAAGGATTTACAAAGCTGAGTTTACTTTCTAGAATACTCTAGTTTATTTCCTAGAAAATTGCATTTTATCACTGCAAAAGTATTTTCTTTCCAAATGAGTATGCTTTCCAGCAAGAGTTTTTGTTTTGTTTTGTTTTGCTTTTAAATCTTAAAAAAAAAATTTTTTTAATATGTCTTTATTGATTCCAGAGAGCGGAAGGGAGAGGGAGAGAGAGAGAAACATCAATAATGAGAGAGTCATTGATCGGCTGTCTCCTGCACACCCCCCACTGGGGATCGAGCCCGAAACCCCAGCATGTGCCCTGACTGGGAATCGAACCTCGATCTCCTGGATCCTAGGTTGATGCTCAACCACTGAGCCACGCTGGCCGGGCTCTAGTAAGAGTTTTGAGTCACAGAGACAGAGGTGGAGAAGTGGTGATGGGCCATGGCAACTGTCAAGTTCAAGGAAAAAAAAGTCACGGTGTGGTTGGGAGGCTTCTATTTATCTGTTCATAACAGACCGACCCTCACGTGGAGGTCAGCAGCTTCTCTGCACCAAATGAAGAACGTGCTGCTGCGTAAAGGGAGCCTTGCCCTGCGTATTCGTTACTAACCGAAGGAGCGCAGGGAGAATTTTACCCCACCCCTTTCTTTGTTTTGTTTTTTAATCGTCACCCAAGGAATGAGAATCATTTCTCCATTGAAAGGAGGGGGCAGAGAAGCACCGATGTGAGAGAGACACATTGAGCGGTTACCTCCCACACACACCCCAGCGGCAACCAGGGCCGGGGAGTGAACCTGCAAACCAGGTACGTGTGACCGGAATCAGACCCGCGACCCTCTGGTGTGCAGGCCGACACTCTAACCACTGAGCCACGCTGGCCAGGGCTAACCCACCCCGTTTTTACAAGCAGGAAAGGCCAGCTGCGTTATTAGAATCACGACAGCCACGGCTGGTATGGATGACTGACCTGCAGCATGTTTGTGTGCGTGGAGGGCCGGCTGCGGGATGTGGAATATGTCACGGAATCATGTAGGACAATTGGAATAATTATTGTTGCCCAAAACGCAAGTGTGCAGCTAGAGGAGAGATTAGTGACGCAGACACTGGGTCTGTTTTGGAAATGTTCTAAAACCAGACTATTAACACAGTGAGCCATTTTAAACACAGCTACGTGTTTGGAGAGAAACACATACCCTTTTATTAGGAACATGAAACAAACCCTTTGAGCGGCAGTACCACGGTGGGTGAGTTTAATTGCTGGGAATTAATAAATCACAGTTGCAAAAGTTAAGTTCTTGGCAGGATTCTTTATTCAGCTGTTTTCCCCTGCCCTCGTTACATTCCAGATTTACGGCCTGCGTTATGTCTGGAGCCAGCCGCCCCCTTGCTCTTTTCCTCTGCGGCTGCTGTGCAGTGGCCCTGGGAGCCCACGCCGCGGAGCGCTGCGTGGCCGACGAGCTCGACCCTGAATCTTACGTGGCCGCAGTGTACGAGCACCAGTTGATCTCGAGTCCGAACCCTGAAGCTCTCACCAGCCGCAAGCAGGCCTTGGAGCTGATGAACCAGAACCTCGACATCTACGAACAGCAAGTGAAGACTGCAGCCCAAAAGGCAAGACGTGCTCCTGGGGCAGAGCCCCAGCTTGTCTCAGGGAAAACTGCTCTTTAGCCTGGGTCAGGGCTTCCCGCAGCCCCTCTGGAAAATCAGCGCCGTTGCTAGAGCTGAGTTGAAGCAGACAGTTGGCGAGAGTGCCGCTGCTCAGAGAGTGGTCCCTGGACCAGCAGCATCAGCAGCCCTGCTGACCTTGTGAGAAATGCAGAATGTGGGCCCCACTCAGACCTGCTGAATCAGACCTACATTTTAGCAGGATGGCCAGGTGATGCTTCTCATGGCAAGTCTGAGAAGCCAGGGCTGGATCCCTGGTTCTCGAATGTGGCTGTGTGGAGAATCGCTTGGCCAGTTCTAAACAAATGTGGGTGCCTGAGCCCCATGCCTGCAGAGTTAGATGGGCTAAGAGCTGGGCACTAGGATTTTTTAAGGCTTCCCAGTGGATTCCAATGTGCAGAAAATCTGAAAACCACCAGGCACGATGGCCTCTCATGCGCTCTGAGACATTCGGAGTTGAACTGAAATAGGCATCCATAGAACTGCTATTTGCTGCCTCCAGATTATTTGGGGTTCATTTCTGGTCTCAGTGCCAGACGGTGAACAGTCTTAAGAACTCAGTCCAGACAGAACTGAACCCAAAGGAACAAAGGGAGGTGGGTGCCAGCCTTTGTGAAAGCTTCCTGCTTGGCCCGAGTTTCCAGCTCCTGTCAGGAAGGGTGGGGCTGAGAGGGAAATGCCAGTGCCAGATGTTACTGTAAGAAAATGCCCTGTTGGGAAACCCATAACCAAAGGGAAGTTTGAGTTTTAACCTTGGCAATGGGGTGACCAAGCCCAGCTGCTGGATGGGGAGCCCTACTCTGCCTCCACATGAGCAAAACTGCCCTGTGTCTGTGAGTTTAAGGGGCAGAACCAGTCATGCCAACAGGCTCTGCACCCCAAGCAGTCCCTGTCTCTGGTCAGGGTGGACAGAATTGCCTGGACAGCCACTGTCTATGGATGGTTACATTTAAATAGTCTAGCCTATAAGGCATACACACACAAACACGTACACACCCTAATGTTGGAAGGGAGCTTAAGGACCTGGTCCAAGTTCCTCTGATGGGTGACACTCCTCTCTTTTGTTCCCAGCCTGACATCCGGTTTCTCCTTGAACATCCTCAGTGGCCCAGAACTCCTGTCTCACAGGTCCCCTGCTTCCAGCTGAGGCCAGTGGGCACTTTGGGAAGGTCTTCCTTTCACTAAGCAACAGTTAGCCTCCCTCTAACAGCCACTTATTGTTCTATTCTCCGAGCTAATAAACAGGACAGACACTGAGTCCCTCATCCCGGTGTGCCACCTTCCCCAACTTGAGGACAGCTGTCCTGGACCCCTGGCATCTCTCCCCCAGGCTACATATACCTAGTTCCACCCACAGCTCCTGGAGGTGAGGATTTCAGACCTCCTATCAAGACTTCCCTTGTTGCCTCTGCTCCCAACTTTTCCCGAGGGCAGGGTGGAGTAGAGCTATCACCATTCTCATTCTAGACTTGTCCCCAGAAAGCTTTTGGCAGCCACATCTCACTGTGGATGCATGAGGCACTTGCTGTCAACTGAGACTCCTGACACGTAGTGGATACTGCCGTTGCCACCCTGTGCTTATAAAAGTCACTTATTTAACTTGAGAGCATGACTTCACAGGTATGCTGTTAAATTTCATCATTCCAGCCTGTTGGGCTATTTGGGGATCTTTACTGACATCTAGCATATGTTACTTTCGAGTCATTCACACATCTGATGGACGTCCCACTTATGTCTTCGTGTAGATAAATCCCAGGCTCTGTCATCAATCCGTCCTGATGACACAGATCCACTCTGGAGCACTCTGCACAGAGGTGTCTGCTTGCGTGGCACTCAGTGTCACCGCCTCTTGCTCCTGCATCCTGTCTTACAAGACTGTCCTAAGACATTGGGCAGCTGCCGTACTGAAACCCAGACACTGAGACTGAAGCGTCCCCCTGTATTTTAATAACCTGCCCCCAAGTGAAACACAGAGCATGTTTTTGTCAAACCCGTGCCAGCTGCCAGGCATCACTCCCTCTCTGTTTGTGGTCCAGGAGCAGGGACGAAGCTGTTGATATGACTGCTGTCAGTGTTTATAAATATCTCGGCGGCCCTATGTGGTTATATGTGTTAAAGCAACTTCTAAGACAAATTGATGCGAAGCATGTGTCAGAGTTTTGTATTAAACTCATGATAAGGGTAGAGGTTCCTGCACAAGCCAGTGGAAGTATTTCTCTCTTGAAAGAGGCACTTATAGGGAAGAAAAGGAGTCCAGCTTAAAGACGTTAGGCTGGTCGGTCACCTGGGTGGGCAACCGTAATTCCTCAGGAGTTCTTGATCTCATTGAGTTTATCCAAAAATTGCTCATGTCACTCATCAGGAATTTACCTATTTCCTAGAACATTCCTAGAAAGGAATGGTAATCACATCAGACCCAAGGTTCCTCCCCAGCTCAGGTCTGTTTCCTCTCCTCAATCCTGGCAGATACGTATTCCGGAAATCCAATTCAATTTTAATATCAATCTGACATCTATACATAACTGTCATTTTCCATAAAAAACAACAACATTCAATGCTCTCAAAGTTTTGTTTTTACTCAAGGAAATTATCCAAGTATAATTTTCAAAAAGTTAAAAACATGAGTCATACAAGTATGGAATGAACATGCGTCAAAGCTTTTACTGAACTCATTAATTTCTGAAGGAACCAGTAAGATGTAAAGCTGGCCCACTGAGAGTAGTGTGTGTCAGGCAGTCAGTCAAATGAAGGGGGAAGTGAATTTGCCAGTAGATACAGAACTAGTTAACGTCCTGCGGGGCAATAAAATTGTGACCTTTAGCGTGATGTTTTATTAAATGGGAAAGCCAAACAGTGGTCCGTTCACTAGAGAAAGTCTTTGAATGAGGCTAATTGGTACCCTAGTATATCTTGGAAAGGCATACAATTTGTCGTCTCTCTTTATTCCCAAGTTTGCGAAAATTTCCCTTTACATTGATCTCATACTCTGCTGGAGTGTACATTGGTATAATCTTTCTGGAAAGCTTTTTGGCAACATATGTTAAGAACATACAACTTCTCATACCCATGACCCAGTACTTTCACTTATAAAACTTTATTCCAAAGAAATCATCATCAGAGATTCAATCAAAGATTTGTGTACAACACTCATTCACTGAGTCTTTTGAACACCCTGCATGCAGATGGTCACCACTGTTTTATTACAAAAAGCTGGTGATCATTCAACCGTTCAATAATAGAGATTTAACTGTGGTGTCCTCTTAAATTAAATGTGGCCATTACAAATGATATTTTTGAAGGTATCTTTGTAGTCTTGATGTTTTATGTAGTGAGAAAGTCAAGATGGAAAACCATTATTTGTTATCTCAATTAGAGACAGAATGAAAATAGCCAAGATATTAACAATAAATACCTTTATGTCACAGGATTATGAACCCTTACTTTATATTTTCTGTTTTCCAGGTTTTCTATAGTTAAACTTTTGAAGCTTTATAGCCAGAAGAAATTTATAAAGAAAGTTTTCAGTGCATTCCAGAAATAAGTGACTCATATTGCCCGTTATTGTAGATTATTCATGCCTTCTCCGCCTTCCTCCCCCCCTTTCACTTTGGGGCAATGTCCCAGGCTTAACATTTGAAGCCATGGAAGCAGAAAACCGCAGAAGCATGAGGCCCTGGTGCAGAGAGCTGAGGGCTGCCGTTTGGATTTTCTTAGGTTGCCGCAGACATCACAGGGAGCCGAGGGGTCTCCAGGCGGGGAAGAGGCCTGCAGTGTGGTCAGGATTCTGAAGGGAGACTCCTAATTCCCAGTTGGAGAACTGCAAGTTAGAGCAGGTCCTTGTTTCTATTCTGAAATCAACACACTTGAATTTTACCCACCAGCTCAGTGGGTCCCAACCTTGGCTGCACCTTAGAGTCACCTGGGAACATTAACCAGAATCCAACCCACGATTGAAGCAAACTCTTTAGTGGTGGACCCAGCATCACCCCTACACAGAAAAACTTTTTTCAGGAATGTTTTTTCAGAAGTTCCCCATCTGATTTCAGTGCACAATGAAGGTTAAAAACCACTGGGCTGGAGATGCCACATCTGTTAATGAGCCCAGTACTCAAGGCCTTTTGTAGCTGGCCCATCTCCCATTGCACCACCAAGAGCTCCAAACCCCTAACTGTTAGCTTGGCAAACTCCTCCCTTGAACCCTCCTTCCCTCCACATGCCCCCAGGTGCATGGTTGTTCCCAGAGGACCTTGTCTTAGTTCCCTCAGAATTGGGCCAAGCGAGATAGCTTCCCCAAGACTAAGATCCCTGATGAGAGTTCAGCCACCATTTTTTTTTTTTTTAAATATATCTTTATTGATTTCAGAGAGAGGAAAGGAGAGGGGGAGAGAGAGGGAGATAGAAACATCAGTGATGAGAGAGTCATTGATCGGCTGCCTCCTGCACGCCCCTAACTGGGGATCGAGCCTGCAACCTGGGCATGTGCCCTGACCGGGAATCGAACCTCGATCTCTTGGATCCTAGGTCGACGCTCAATCCCTGAGCCACCCCGGCCGGGCTCAGCCACCATTTTTTTGCCTCGCTCCTGGTACACAGACAGCAATTGCTTGATGGCTGTCAGATGCATGGATGAAAGAGTGAATGAATGAAGGGGTCCTCCCCATTATCTGATAACATGCCATACTTTGATGTTTTTGACTTACAGGGTGTACAGATTATAGTGTTTCCAGAAGATGGCATTCATGGATTCAACTTTACAAGAACTTCCATTTACCCATATTTGGACTTCATGCCGCCTCCTCAGTTGGTCAGGTGGAACCCATGCCTGGAACCCCACCGATTCAGTGACACAGAGGTGTGTGAGCGTCCTAGCCATCCTCCTCAGTGGGCCAGAGGCATCCAGAGATGAACCAAGCCAGGGGCCAAAGCCAAGACATGTTAAATTAGACTGAAACGGAACCCTGGGGCCCTAAAAGTGAAACCCAAACACCAGATGCCACGCATTCATCTTGTTAAAGAGTGTCTGATATGACGAGTCATTTACTCATCTATGGATCTTCCCATGTATTATTACACAAGAAATACATAAATATACGTTTATAAAACAAAGTGAAAGCCCACCTTCACCACACCCCAACTCTCATCCTACTTCCCTTCCGAGAGAAACTGCCATCGACAACTTGATGTGCGTCCAACTATATTCTTTTCTATGCATTTTATAATTGACATTCTTTTTTTAACACACTATATGCTTATTCTTTTTTAATTCTTGCTATCATAACCCATGTCTCAATGAATGTCCTTGCACACATATTTTTGTAAACATGTCTAAATTTTCCTCTGCAAGCTGAGATTCCTAGAAATGGAATTTCTCAGCAGAAGGATAGGCACAGTTTAAGTTATTGTAAAGAAAGCCAGATTTTCTTCCCAAAAGATTTTGATTTCGCTTTACCTCCCCAGTGATATGCATGAGTGCCTGTTTCCCCATCCTTCGGTCAATGTAAGATAGAATAATCTTTTTAATTCCTGCCAGTCTTATGAAGGTGAAAAATATCTCATCATTATTTTATTTTTTAATATGTCTTTATTGATTTCAGAGAGGAAGGGAGAGGGAGAGAGAGAGAGAGAAACATCAGTGATGAGAGAGTCATTGATGGGCTGCCTCCTGCACGCCCCGCACTGGGGATCGAGCCCGCAACCCGGGCATGTGCCCTGACCAGGAATCAAACCTTGATCTCTTGGATCCTAGGTCGATGCTGAACGGCTAAGCCACACCCAGCCGGGCTCGTCATTATTTTAATTTGCATTTCCTTAGTACTAACAAGGTTGAGCATCTTCTCAGATGTTTGTCGGCCATTTGTATTTGTTCTTTAATGAGTTCTTCCTATCCTTTGCGCATTTTCAGTAGTGGTTGCTATTTTTATTGATTTATGATGGCTATTTATATATTATGAATACAATACAGGTACTTTTCTATTTTAAAATTATAAGGCAAAAGGCAGGATTTAAAAAACCCATTTCTTTATACATGTATTTATACCTTTTTCCCCTCTTCTAGGTCCTCCAGCGCCTGAGCTGTATGGCCATCCAGGGAGAGATGTTCCTGGTGGCCAACCTGGGGACGAAGCAGCCTTGTAACAGCAGTGACCCAGGGTGCCCAGGGGATGGAAGGTACCAGTTTAACACGAACGTCGTGTTCAGCAACAACGGAACCCTCGTAGGCCGCTACCGCAAACACAACCTCTACTTTGAGGCGGCTTTTGACACCCCTCCGCAGGTGGACCACGTTATCTTTGATACGCCCTTTGCCGGCCAGTTCGGCACGTTCACCTGCTTCGACATCCTGTTCTTCCAGCCGGCCGTCAGCCTCCTCGGGGGCCCTGAGGTGAGGCACGTGGTGTTCACGGCCGCCTGGATGAACCAGCTCCCGCTCCTGGCGGCCATTCAGATTCAGAGCGCTTTCGCCATAGCCTTCAATGTCAACTTCCTGGCTGCCAACATCCACCAGCCGTCTCTGGGGATGACTGGAAGTGGCATTCACACGCCTCTGAAATCCATCTGGCACCATGACATGGAAAGTTCCACGGGTCACCTTATAATTGCCCAGGTGGCCAAAAATCCACAGGGTCTCATTGATACAGAGAACGCCACAGAGAAAATGGACCCATTCCATACTAGATTTTTAAAGCTCTTGGCAAGCGACCCACACTGTGAGAAGGATTCTCAGGAAGTCCATTGTGATGGAGACATCAGATGGAACATGAATGATCCTCCCACGTTTCACTCTGAGATGATGTACGACAATTTCACCCTGGTCCCCGCACAGGAGGCGGAGGGCCATCTCCGAGTCTGTGCAAATGGCCTCTGCTGTTATTTACTCTACCAGAGGCCCACTGTGTCCCAAGAGCTGTATGCCCTGGGGGTCTTCGATGGCCTTCACACCGTGCACGGCACTTACTATGTCCAAGTTTGCGCCCTGGTCAAGTGCGGGGGTCTCAGTTTTGACACCTGTGGGCAGGAGATCACAGAGGCCACGGGGATGTTTGAGTTCCACCTGTGGGGTAATTTCAGTACTTCCTATATCTTTCCTCTGCTTCTGACCTCGGGGATGACCCTGGAAACCCCTGACCAGCTCGGCTGGGAGAATGACCACTACTTCATGAGAAAGAGGGGACTGTCCTCTGGCCTGGTGACAGCAGCCCTCTATGGGCGGTTGTATGAGAGGGACCGTGGAAAGTGAGGGCTGGGCTCTGGCTACCGTGGGGACAGCCCTGAATTTGCACAGGCCACAGCTCATAGCACTGGGACCACCTCTGCCCATCCTGGGAGCTGTGGGAAGAAATAGGGGAGGCAGATCCCCCCCAATGTCTCCTCCTCTTAAATGAAAATTATTGAGCCATTTTCTTGTATTTTCCACCCACATTTATCTTTTCCAAGCCGTGTCTTCCTCCAGCAAATCTCCCATTACACAATTGGCTTTAAGAGCTAAAACAAGCCTGGCCCATGTGGCTCAGCGGTTGAGCATCCACCTAGGATCCAGGAGATCGTTGTTTGATTCCCGGTCAGGGCGCACGGCCGGGTTGTGGGCTCGATCCCCAGTCGGGGGCGAGCAGGGGCAGCAAGTCAGTGACTCTCTCATCACTGATGTTTCTCTCTCTCTCTCCGTCTTCCTTCCTCTTTCTGAAGTCAATAAAATAGACGACAGTTTGTATTTTACACATCCACAGAGCAGTGGTGTGTGTGTGTGTGTTTCCCTTATTCGTAGTGTTAATCAGTGACACGCAGGACACACAAGTATTTCACAGGCCTCCGACGTTTTCTAAGGGAAGAAACAAACAAAGCAAGAGCTGCATTAGAAATGGCTGCCCTGGGGCCCTTTCCACTCTGGGCAACCAGAGTTCTATCCAGATGAAATGGTAACACTCGAGCCACCAGCAACACCAGAAATGCGGGTTTTGAAGCAGCTTTTAAAACCAGAAGGGACGTTTTTCTCACATCTGCCTTCCTGTCTGGCAGGACTCACAGTAACTGGGAAGAACGTGTGGTGCCCCAGAGAGGGGGGACTGGAAAAAAGTGCTGAAGAAAGGGCAGTAGGAAGGTGCGAGTAATCGGACCTTCTTTCTGCACAACGTGTCTCACCGGGGATTCCAGGGACCTCCATCAATCACACTAGCTTTGGACAAGAGCCTCACGGTTGCCCAACTGGGCAGGATGGAATGATGCTGGTGGAATTCAATCCCCCGCCCCCGGAGGGCCTTGTGTTTGCAGAGAGGCACTGTACCTCTTGCAGAGAAGTTACCAGAACTGCCCTGGAGGTCGGCCCACTTCAGTCGTTCATTTATTTAATCGCTCAACAGGTGTTTTTGGAGAGCCCACCAGGTACAGAGGCAAGGACCTCCCACATTAGTTCCAGATGCAAAATCATCGAATTCAGTGTGTGAAGACATTGTCAGGCCACTCGTTTCTGTAGTATTTGTATCCGACATTTCAAAGTCATCCTGACTCCATGCCCAGTAACTTTCCAATCATTTTAAAAGTGGAAAACGGATCCCTTTTTAAAGACAATGGATAATCAGGCGCCTGTGGTTTGCCTCTTCAATGTTGTGGCTATTTAGTTTTATTTCCCTTTGAAAATTAGGTGTTTAAAAACTGTGTGCCTATATATAATTATATAAAATAAAAAGTGAAATTTCTTCCCCACCCCCTGTAGTGTCCAGGCCCTTTTCCTGCTTTGGGCAGGATAGTGAAGCGCATAGACCCCAGGGTGGGACCGACCCGGTTTACTGCCCTGGCCTGGCTGTTTACTCTGCACAGCAGAGACCTTAAGCCTCGCTGGGGCCCAGTTCTCATTCGTGGAATGTGTATGGAATAATCCGCGTGGGAAGAGCGAGGTCCCTGCTGACTCACTGCTCGACCACAAAGGCCCGAGTGAGTCACGCCTCAGGGAATGAGCCGAACCGCAGATTCCTGAGGAAGCCCTGGGAAATCCCCCTGGAGCCAGCGGGACCCCTCCCACCAGAGGACGGGGCGGCCGGGCCTCCCC